AGTGTATCTCGTTCAGGATGAACGTCGACGACCAGATGGACGATTGTCTTTGAGAATAAAATGATCAAATCTAAATTGGACGTCGTGATGATGTTTTGCTTTATTTCAAAAGTCGTGTCAGAGTGATTCGTAAATTGACCATTGACCAATTCTGACCGTGGATGCGTTTGCCGAAGTACTCATCTGCATTCTTGCGAAAACATTCTTTCACGCAGTCACAATGTCGTAGTCAAGTCGGTACAGACGTTGACAGGCCCTAATTGAATGGGACCAAATTGCTTTTTGGCACATTTCCTCTACTCCATCTCCAATCGTCGCAATCATTCGTCATGTTGACACATCGCGAATTCTCTTCCGCCTCGAGATGAGACCAACTAACGCATCTTCTTCAACCGTCCGTTCTTGACCAGCTGAACTTTAGCCTCAACGTTACCTCGTCGATCCAGTCGTCCGGATTGAGACTCGTCTTGTTCATCTCTTCCAACTTCCGGCTTCATCTCTGCCCAATTTTCCGCTTTATCAAACTTTCCCACCTTTCCCACCTTTCCCACTGTTCTCCCCTATCCTCCCACCATCTCGTTTCGGTTGCATAATCATCACAACCGTCTGTCTGACTTTGCGTCCATTCCTTCTTTGTTCGGCAACTCTGCAATCCTCTCTTCTTCTTCTTCTTCTTCTTTCAATCCAGGCTGAACTTTTTCTTGTGTCACTCTAACACGTTAATTAAGCCCTCTGCTTTTCTTTCCAACTTAATTTGCCTAATTACCACGCACTCATACATACCCTCCCTACACACACACACAAACACACACACAAATGGACATACGCACCAAGGCATGTGGGCAACCAGTCTGTCGAGTCGGCTCAGGGATGCGCAAGCCGATGAATGTTCTGCCGTCGGCAAGCCGCGCAAACACAAATGACCGTGTGTTAATTGTTTGCTGGACATTTTGTCAGTTGAAACCTTCACCATGCCCATCTGGGTGTTGTGTGTGTGTGTGTGTGTGTGTGTGTGCATGTGTACAGAAGCGCCGTGTTTAAGAGTAGCACGAGTTGTCTAGTCATCCCTTCTCTCCAAGGCTGTATGGCCTGGTGCATATAAAAAGTTTCTGATAACACGCCAACACAAAACCGCATGTATACATTGGTGCATGTTGCTATGTCTGTCGATAAGTACCTATGTGTATTTGTGTGTTTGTCTTGAATTGATTTCATGCCTTTGTAAATGGATAATTAGTAATTAAGTCTTCGAAAGTTGTATTTTTCGAGTTTCCGCTCACGTTTCAGAGTGAATGTAGACAGAAGCAATTATCGAGTCTTCTTGTCCCATGCCAATATTTGCTCAAATCCACAAATATGTATAATTACTCCTCTTATCATTCTTCATACACAGCCGCATAGATGACATGATAAATGGCCGAAATCTGTGACTATCCATGCCTGGGGCATAGTCGGAGTGGGAAATTGTGCATGGGTGACTTGGGCTGCCGGCTTAACCGGTTGTGGTGGCAGGCGCTGGCAACATTATGCTCTTTAAGACACCGTCGAGACGCGTCATGAGGCCAGCCTCCGCTCTTCGCGGATTACGTCGCGACAGAAAGCCGAGAAACAACCTGCAAGTTGTTCCTTTGATCGACTCTGTTCACACCGACCATATGACCAGACTGTGAAAGGGAATGTGTATTCAGTTCTTTTGGAAGGATCGGACATCGCCAGACGATTGTGTGAATCACATATTTACCCATTTACGCATACACACATGAATACATTCACACAATTACATACAAACAAACATTCATAACGAAGAAGTAGGCTTAAAATGTTTATGGGTACTAAGTTAATTTGGAAGGATCGGATATCATCAGACGATTGTGTAAATCACATATTTACCCATCCACGCATTAACACCTGAATACATTCACACAATCACATACAAAGAAACATTTAGAAGGAGGCGGAAGGCTGCAAAAGTTTATGGGTACTCAGTTCTTTTGGGAGGAGCAGACATCACCAGACAACTGTGTGAATCACATATTTACCCATTCACGCATTCACACCTGCATAAATTCACACAATTACATACAAAGAAACATTCATAGGAAGGAAGTATACTGCCAAAGTTTGATGGATACTCAGTTCTTTTGGAAGGATCGGACATCACCAGAGAACTT